ATTTTGTCTCTATTACCATTTAATGAAAGTGTCTCTGATGATGGTTTTGTGTAAGCATCCGAAATGTCAGACCAATAAACTTATTGCTTCAACACTCGTATATTTTTCTGAAGTGAACGTATGCTATATTTGGCAGATCGGTGCTGGACACTTTGTTTGGCCACCCAGTTCACCCACTCTAATGTCACTGGATTTCTATGCAAGGCCACCCTTCCTACTATAATCTCATTCTATGAATGAATTTAATGTCAGTTGCAGTGATCATCCATAGGATCGGTTTGCATCAATCTACTAGTGCATTTATAGAGTCTGGAAAGTATATTAGCGTGGTGCTAACGGGAGGTGACAGATGTACAGGAGCTTAGAAGAACAGCGGGGTTGTCTTAAAAACTTAAGTATTGTAACTCCCGAATGTTTCTCACTGTAAAACTATAAGAAGCACACACTCGTAGTTATTAAATATGATACTGAGCAAGGTCTATTAGGACACCCCCTCTTTATGCCATTAGTTCTTTTGCAGTGACCACGCCATACAATCATAACAAATCGGGTATTTCTTTGAAGTGCTGCATTCGCGAAAACTGCAAGTTTACCGTGATTCAGTTTTCTGGCTTTGCTGCACCTTGACATATATGTCAAGGACCTTTTAATCCAATTATCCTCCTCCGCAATCTTTCCATGCCTGTTACCTCTTCACTTCACCGGAGTTTTGTTTTCTGAGGAGGATATGAAGTACTAGAGTGTATGAACATTTCCACTTTCTGTTTCCTACTTAACAGAAGCTGCTTTGTGTGTGAAGAAGTTGAGAAGGAGGTAGATAAAAATGTGCCTGTCATAAGAGCAGTTTCAGGGCGTTATCAGGCTACACAAGCCGCATTTGACCATTTACCGAGGATATACTATCCAACCATGTCTATTTATCATGCTTATTTCCTCACCTATCTTTGATGCTTACTCTTAACAACTTATGGCTCTTGAAAACGAGTTTTAACTTCGAAGCAGACATCGACCACCCTTCCTACACGTCAGTAAGGGGTGTAAATAACTGACAACAGTGGTTAGGCAGGCGCCTAGCTTTTTCTACGCAACTATCTAGCCAAACTAACTGGGTAATGCAAGAAAAATACATATTACCTCAAATTCCAGCTAACCTAACACAAGGTAATCTACCTTGAATGACTTCGTGTGGGGCCTTTAGCAGGGAT